CTGATACTGAGTACATTTGAGGCTCTTGATTGTTTTCCTTGGTTTGTGTTCTCCCCAAGAGCTGACCCAGACACCAGGATTTAGGTGCAAGTATTTTATTTGGAAACTGAGTCCAGGAAGCACTATAAGTGAGTGGGCCAGTGAGATAGTGAAGGGAAGATGGGCAATAAAACGTGAGCATGTTATTGCTGGGGGCCACCGGGACTCAAACCTCCTGGGAACTCTCTGAAACACTGTGGAACAGATTTCAGGATTGTACCATTGGGGATCAATTAATCCACCAACTACCATCTCCCACTGGTTGAGAGCCTCTCCTGAGATAATATCTCACCACTCCTGGTCTATCCCATGTGTTGCCAAGTGGACACACTCAGGCAGAGAAATATAAGGATTTTTCCATTGGGCCACCTGTGAGGGAAAACACAAATGTATTTCTCAAGACATACTGGTAGAAAACCTGTGTAAATATTGATTGGTCCATTATATAGTCCACTAGACCAAAAAGCTCTGGTACCATAGTGCCTAAGGCACTTGACTGACAACCAGAAGGCTGGCGCTTCAAACCCACCAGCCACTCCTCAGAAGGAAGATTGGGTAATCTACTTCTGTAGTTATACTGCCTTGGAAACCCAAGGAGGGGTCGCTATGAGTCGGGGCCGACTTGACTGCACATAACAACAGCAACAACAACAGACCAATAAGCAACATCATTATAAACAGACAAAAGATTAATGTTTTCAAGGATTCCATTTGACTTAGATTCATAATCAACACCCAGGGAAGCAGTGCTCAAGAAATCAAATGATATATTGGACAAATCTGCTACAAAAGAACCTCTTCAAAGTGTTAAAATGCAAAGATTTCATCTTGAAGACTAAGGTGTGCTGAACCCAAACTATGGTATTTTCAGTCACCTCACATGCATGTAAAAACTGGGCAGTGAATGAGGAAGATCAAAGAAAAATTGATGCATTTGAATCACAGTGAAGAATATTGAATATCCGTGTGTTGCCAGAAGTACAAACAAATCTGTCTTGGATGAAATACAACCAGAATGCTCTTTAGAAGCAATGATGGCGAGGTTTCGCTTCTCGTAGCTTGGTCAGATTGTCAGGAGAGACCAGTCCCTGGAGAAGGATACTATGCTTAGTGAAGTGGATGGTCAGTGAAAAAGAGGAAAACCCTCAACAAGATGCATTGACACAGTGGCTGCAATCATGGGCTCAAATGTAGCAATGACTGTGAGGATGGTTCAGGAACAGGCAGTGCTTCGTTCTGTTGTGCATAGGGTTGTTGTGAGTCAATAAACTTGATGGCACCTAACAAGAACCTAACAATGCAAAAGAGGAAACGTTGGTGGTTTAGTCATAAAATTCTTGCCTTCCATTTTAGCGAGCCAGGTTTGATTCCTGCCCAATGCACCTCACACACAATAACTGCTCAACTGTCACTAGTCTTACCTATTGCTGTGTTGCTGCAAAGATTCCAGCTGACTAAGACAGATGCTCCACTTGTGAAAATTAGCCACTGAAAACTCTATGGATCACACACAACAGTCTTAGTCCTCTAGGATCATGGGAGTTGTGCAGGACCAGGCACCCTTCCATTTTGTATAGGGTCTTCATGAATCTGGTTGACTTGATGGCAGCTGACAACAACAACAACAAAAAAAAAGTATTATGATGAATAAAATGCACTGCTTCGTTTCTTAAAACTTGCATTTTGTTTTTCTTCAGAAAATTTCTGTGACAATTGAGTAAGTCATTTGATTTGTTGAAGATGCTCTTTTTGTCTGTTTGTTTCAGTTTATTTTGTTTAATACTCTCGGGACATGTGATCTCTAAATTCCCTTTTTATAGGTCTTTTATAAATGCTGATAAAACCTAGGGATCCTTTCTTGGGAGAAATGAACACACATTCAGAATTGTGCCTGCAATTCCACTTAATTCATAGACACCCCACACCCCGGCATCCCATGTATGACAGCCCTGAACTCTCTGTTTTAACTAGACCTGAATCACCTGATTAGAGTGAATGACTCTTCCCTGTAACCTCAGATATCTCTGCCAAAAAGAATGAGAGTAACATCATTGTTGATCCAATGTCTTGTGCTGTGTAACTACCTATTCCAAAACTAACTGGCTTCAAAGAGCAACTCTCTGTGTTTTATGTCTCACCAACCAATATAGGAAAGCCCTTTGAGTAGTTCTTTGGCTCCAAGTGGTGCCCTCTGGATCACTCCTCTGGCTGTTTTCACCCGGCACTTAAGCTGACCTGAAAGTTTAAAGAAGGCTTCACTGACTTGCCTCATATCCCATGCTCTTCCCCCTGACTTCTCTAATTGCCTAACTTGAGTTTCTTTATACCATGGTCACCTCAGAATAGATGCACTTCTTATAAGCCAGTTGCCTTCTCAGCTTGTGTGTTCTATGAGGACAAGCTCCAATGTGCAATCACTCACTGAGTCCCTGACTACATCATATTTACTAGTGTCCCATTTTCTTTTGGGTGGAGCCTACAAGAAGGCATGACTACCTGAGATCTGGTTCAATGGAGGCTACCAATAGGGAATTTCATTTGCTGTAAATACTTTCCAAGCAGAAGGATTGTTGTTTAGAGGAGTAATAAATTTTCAACCAGTGTAAACATTCTTGCAGAAGCACATAGGAGATACTATGACCTCCCTGATCATAATTCTCTAGAACAGAGTGAAGCACAAATTTTGAGGCTACCTGACTAAGGATGAGTGGTATTATCAAAAATGTTAGGGACATCAAGCAGGACTTTCAGATCAGGAGGAGAATCACAAATGTGGCTAAATTGCTTTTCCTTCATATAGAGGAAAGAGCTAATCAAGAGACAATGACCTTTATTCTTCCCTCTCTTAGGTTGGATGTCGATATAACTGAACTTCACAGTTGGATTACTCGTTCAGAAGCTGTATTGCAGAGTCCTGAATTTGCAATCTATCGGAAGGAAGGCAGCTTCTCAGATCTTAAAGAAAAAGTCAATGTAGGTTATGCATTTATTTTGGTACATTTTCTTAAGTTGTAAATTCTGTGCTTTGCACTCTCTTATTCTATTAGTTGAAAGGATTAAAACACTGTGATTTAATGCTTTTCATATAGCTTTAAAATATATTTTAGACATCAAGCTGAATCAAAGTTTAATGTAGAAAATCTTTCTGCTAAAACTCATAAAGAATGCTTTTTGTAAATCTTTAATTTTCATCTTATTTAGATATATATAAACAATTTTATGACATGAATACTTGTTGATTTTCCTTTATGCTTTTTTTCTTTCATCTCAAGGCTGGATCTTAGCAAATTTATGGACTGCAGTGGATGAAATGGAATAGAACAGTATAGAATAGACCCTCAGAAATATCATACCTAGGACCCTGCTTATCTTGTCAGTGTTATCATAAAGTAATTTTTATAGTCATCACTACATGCCTTGCATTATAAGAGATTTGGATTTTCAGATATTTATATGTTACATTGCCTTTACTAAAAGATGTCGGGCCTCTCTCAATATTTGTTTATTAAAAAAAAAAATAGTTCACTCTTTTCCACTTGGAAGGGGATCTATGTAGGAGATCCTTGATAAAGAGGGAGAACAATGTGGAATAAAACTCA